ATGGGCACCGAGTCCTCCAGAAAGCTCTGGCTGAGCCCCGGGCTGGGCCTGGCTGACTGGCCTCGGACAGCAGAACAGGGGTCCGTGTTGCTGGACCCCAGACTGCTCCAAGCGCCAGAGCGCCCGACCCGCCCACCTCTCCCCGGGGAAGGGGGCGGGGAGGGGCTGGCGTGGCACCGTGCCAGGGGCCCGTCCCCGGAGGACTCTGTGCCCACCCACGGCAGCGAGACGGTCCCCTTTCCCGGGCCCCAGCGCAGACCCTTCCTCCAGCGCGGGGGGCGGCGCCGGGCCGGCCCGGGGCTCGGTCAGCCCGAGCGGAGCCCGCCCCCTAGAGGAGGGCGGCGGCACTGCAGGCCCGCGCGCCCCTGCCCCCGCCCCCGCCCCGCGGGCCCCCAGGTGAGAGGGTCTTCAACGTCCCGGGGACGGCGGCGACGCCCCCCTCCGCGTCCTCGGAGACCCAGCCAGGAAAGGGCCCCCGGAAGGAGCGGGGCGGGCGGGCTTCTTGCACAGAGCTGGGCTGTCTTTCCAGGGGTGGGGGCGCGGGGGTGCCCGGCGGGCGAGCGGGACGGACGGGGACGCGTCCGACGACCCCGTCCCCGGGATGCGGGAGGGGGGGCTGCAGGGGACCTGGGCAGGGAGGGACGAGTTGCAGGGACCCGGCCGCGGCTCCGGAAGTGCCCGGGGCCGGCCTGCACAGACAACACGGAATTGGGGGTGGGGACCCTGTGGGTGCTCCGGGCCGTTCCCAGCGGGCCGGGACCCCGGCAGGCCGGGCGGAGCCGGGGGCCTCCGACCCCCTCCCGGCCCCCGGGCCCCGCCCGCCCCCTCCGTGCCCCCCACGCCCAGGTGTCCGGCGGGGCTCGCCGCGTTCCCGGCCCTGGGATCGATCGGCGCGGGCGACGCGCGACCGCGGCCCCCGCCCCTCCCCCGCCCAGCTCGGGGGGACGCGGCCTCCGAGCGGCGTCCGGGCCGCCGGGGGTGGCGGCGCGCCCGGGCCCCGGGGCCGCACCCGCCGCGCGCGCCTCCCTCCCCCGCCGCCGCGCGGGCGGGGGGCGCGGGGCCGCGGCCACTTCGGGCGCCGCCGGCCGCGGGTCCCCGAGCCCCGGCGCGCGGAGGGAAGAAAGGCGCGCGCGAGCCGCGGGCCCCGCGGGTTCCGGGGCGCGACGGGGGCACCCGAGAGCGAAGCGCAGGGGCGGGCGTGCGAGGGCGAGCCCGCGGGGAGCGCCGCGGCGGGACCCCGGAGGACGAGCACCGCCCCCCGGCCCGGCGCGGCGCGGCGGCTCCCGGGCGCGTCCCCGGGCGGGCGGGCGGGAGCCCCGCGGCCGGATGTAGGGCGGGGGCCGGGTGGGCTTCTCCGCGCCGGCGGGGGGGCTGGCGCGGGGGGCGGGGGCGGCGGAGCGGACGTCGTAGGGAACGACGCGTCCGGCCGGGCGCCGGCGACCCCTGCGTGCCGCAATGCAGAGGCGCGGCCCTGCGGGCGGGCGCCGCTGTGGCCCCAAGGACCTGCAGGGGCCCCTGGGCTCGCGGCGCCCTGGCCGGCCCCCGCCGGCCCTTCCTCCCGGACCCCCGTGCCAGTCGCCGGGACCCGCAGCGGAGGGACGCGGGCGGGGCCGCTTCGGGGACGTCGCCCCCGCCCCCCAGCAAAAGCCGACCCTTCCTCGGGCGGTGGGACAAAGAGCAGAAAGAAAGTGGGGGCGGGGATGTAGGGCGAGGGGCGCCCAGGAAACCGAGTCACCGCTCCGAAGGGGGCGTGCATGTGAGGCGGGGGTCCCCGGCCGCCGCCGCCTGCGCCTGTCCCCGCGCATGGTCCCACCAGGGCGGCGCCACCCACGCCGCGGCGACAAATGCGAGGGCAGCGTCGCGCCCGCGGCCGCCGGCCGGTGGGCCTGGTCCCGCCGCCCCTCCACGGGCGCGTGGTTGTTCGAGACCCCCCGGGGCAGCGCCGGGTGGGGGGTGCGTCGGGCCCGGCCGGCTGGGCAGGGGAAGGGCACGGGGCGAGGTCGGGTGCCCGCCAGCGCCTGTTCCCGGCTGGGCTTCGGGAAGAATCCATTCACTTCCCCGGGTGGGCAGTCGTGCCCGGGACTGAGTTCTCGCGCAGGGGACCTCGGCTTGGGGGGCTCCGTCGGCCCTCCGGGGGCGGGGCCCCGGGAGAGAGGGAGTCTTCTCCCGGGGGCCCCCCGGGCCCCTGGGGGCCCAGCCCGAGGCGCGGGGGGAAGGGCTTCCGTCCTTCACCCAGGCGGGGGCCGCGCTGGCCCCAGCGGGGAGGATCCACCCGCGCCCTCCTGGGGGTTCCCCATGGAGCCGGGACAGCCCGGTGGCAGCCAGGGGCCCCGCTGAAAGCTCCGGGAATACCGACTTTGGGGCTGGACTTGCCCGCTGGGCCAGGACTGGGCAGAGGGTGGTAGGGGAGGCCCCAAGGCAAGTTTCCCAGAAGGCTCTGGGGGCGAGCACATCAGGGGAGCCCCCTGCTCCCCGCCCCAAACCTGCCTCCTCCCCTCCCTGCAGCCCGGAGAGCCCCAGGACCCGAGCCTCCAGCCTCGGCACACGCCCTGCCTTGGGGGGGTTGACCTCTGTGTGTCCTCAGACCCCCTCTCCATATGCCCATCCCCTTCAGCCTCCAGGGAGTGAGAAATAAATAACGGGTTTTTTTTTGGGGGGGGGACGTCCTCTCCTGGGGTGCCCTGTGTGTGCCGGTCACTTCCTGAGCCCTGGGCAGAAAGGCAGGCTGGACTTCTGCAGTGTCTGGGAGCTCTGCAAGGCCTCCTCCTGCAGGACCCTCAGGCCAGTCATGGGGGGGTCCTCTGCTCCCACCACGATGCCTGCCCACCCCGCTAGCCCGATCTCCTGGCCAGGGGCCCCAGATGCCACGCTGTGGCCCCTGGAGCTGAAGGTCCCGGGGCAGGCGGTGCCGCGGGGGAGGGGCGGCGGGACGGACATTCCTGGTCCCGTGGGGGCTGAGGCTGCCCCCCCTGAGCAGGACGCAGGTGGGAAACACCGGGGAACAGATTCTCCGGGGGATTTTCTTCAGGGGAGGCAGTCCGGTGTTGGGAAGTTCATCCTGGCCCCACTCTGGACACTTGAGCAGACTAGGTGGGGACAGGCAGCCCCTCGCTACAGACTCAGGCCGAGGCCGTGGGGTTAGGGGACAATTCCGCCCACACCCTGCGCTCCCCAAGCCAGCCTGGGGGCTTCTGTTTCCATGACTAAGGTGTCCCGCAGCCCCTGAGCAGGACAGGGGGCAGCGTGGGCTCAGGGCAGCAACCTTCTCCCGAACCCCCCCAGCCGACTTCCCCAGCCCCTCCCCCGACATCCCGGGAGCCCCTGCCAAAGACTCGACCCCGCGGACACCCCAGCAAGCCTTGCCCGGCCCCCTCCTGCCCTCTGCTCCGGGGTCGGAGTATTGCACCTCCAGCCAGCCCCAAGGCAGACGGAACCCCGCGGGAGGTGCCCGAGGACATCCCCGCACCCCAGCGCCCTGGGGGGAGCGCCCCTCGCCTCGGCAGGCAGCTAGTGCGTCCACTGCAGTCCCCGCCGCCCGCGCGGCGCGACCTGGGAACTGAGGGCGCGACCGCGACCGCGTCCGCGACCAGCGGGGCTGCGGCTGCTCCGGGTCGGGCGGGTCGGAGCCCGGCGCAGGGTCGAGAGGTCGCGGGGTGCGCCTCGCCCCTCGGGGCTCCCTGAGCCCCCCACCCGGTGTTCCGGGGCGTGCGTCGGGGGAGGGAGCGGAGCCCCGAAGGCGCTCGGCTTTTGCTTTTTCTTTCTTCAAGGCCGCTCCGCCAAGGGATTGCGCAAGCTTCCTGCTCCCAACCCTTCGAGGGCCCGGGAGAGCCGGGGGGCCCAGAACACCCCGAGGCGGACGCGCCCGCGGCGGCGTCCCCGGAACGCCGGACCCCGCCGAGCCCGCGGCCTCGGTGGCGCCCCCCGGAGGCCGGCGCGGCGGCGGCAGCTCCCCCCGAGGTGCTAAACTTCACACTCGGCCCGTCCGCGGGCCTGGCCAGGGGACGCGCGCTCCCGACGGCGGCCAGGCCCCCTGGGCCGTTCGGTCGCGGGGCCCGGCGGGGGCCCGGCTCTGCCTGGCTCTAGTTTCCGCTGTCCCCGCCGCCTCGGCCCACGCCCTTCCTGGGGCCCCGGGCCGTCCGGGGACAGCCCCCGCGCCCCCAGCGCCGGCTTTGCATCTCCCGGTCCTTAAGCGCCGCCGGGAACGAGGGGCTGCCGGCCCCGGGACCTCCCGCCCCCGCGCCCCGGAAGGGGCCCGGGCCGGGGAGACGCGCCCCCTCGCCCCGGCCGGTCGGGGGCTCCCCGGTGCCCTGGCCCGCGTACCCCCGCCCCTGTTCTCGAAGCCCGCTCGCCTCCCCAAATGCCCCCGCGGCCGGCGGGGCGGCGCGGGGTGCCCCGGCCCGGATCCCGCCCCCTGCCGGCGGCTCCCCGCGCGCCCGCACGTGACGCAATTCGGTGCAACTGGAAACTGCGGCCGCGGCCTCCGTGGCCCCCGGCGGGGGTCCCCCGGGCGGCGCACGCGGGTCGCGGGGGAGGACGGGGCCGGCCGCGGCGCCGCCGGGCGGCGGGACGGCGGTGGCGGCGCGGGCCCCGCCCGGCCTGTCACGCCGGCCGCCGCGCACCTCCGCGGCCCGGCTCCCCGCGCCGCTCCCGGCGCCCGCCCCGGCAGCTCCCCGGCGGGCTGGCGGGCGGGCGGGCGGCCGCCTCCCCGCCGCCCCCGGGCCGCCCGCCTCCGCCCGCCCCGCGCGGGCCCGGGGCCTCGGGTAGGCCGGGCTGCGCCAATCCCGGCGGCGACCCGCCCCCTGACGCCGAGCAGGGCCCGGCGAGGCCCCGCCCGCTGACGTCGGATTTGCATGAGTTCTTGTGCAGCCGCGGTCCGGGCGCAGTTGTCTGAGCGAGCGCGAGCCGGGGGTCGCGGCGGGCGGCGGCGGCGGCGGGGCCGGCCGGGCTGGGCTGGGCTGGGCTGGGCGAGCGCGCGGGCGGGCGGGCGGGCGGGCGCGGGGGCGCCGGGGCCGGGCCGGCAGCCGGGCGCCGGCGGGAGCCAGCAGCGTCTGCAGCCGCGCCGGCCGCCCGCGCCCCGGCGCGCTCCGGCGGGGCCATGGAGCTGCCAGCTGTCGGCGAGCACGTCTTCGCCGTGGAGAGCATCGAGAAGAAGCGGATCCGCAAGGTAGGGCGCCGCGGGCGGGCGGGAAGGGGGTGGGGAGGCTGCGGGCCGGGGCCGGGGTCCCGCGGAGGCGCTGACGGGGTGCTGTCTCTCGCCCCCTCCCCCAGGGCCGAGTGGAGTATCTGGTGAAATGGAGAGGCTGGTCCCCCAAGTAAGTGGCGGCCGCGCCGCCGGGCCGGCGGGGGGAGCGGCCGGGAGGCGGGAGGAGGAGCGGGAGGGGGTGGGGAGGCCGGTGGCAGGCACTGGGGAAGCCGAGCCCCAGCCCGAGCCCGAGCCCAGTGTGGTGCTCGGCTCTCCGGGAAATGCCATCACTAATTTATGCGCTCGGAGGAGCCGGCGGAGCGGCGCGCGGCGGGGCCGAGCGGGGAGGCCGGCGCGGGAGGGAGGGCGCAGCGCCGGCTGATGTGCAGCAGAAAATGGCTCCTTCCCCCTTTCCCTCCGCGCACGGCTCCATATTGCAAAACCAGAAAAAAAAATGAAAAAGCGACGAAAATGCAATTGGGCACCTCGTCCCTCCGCGCGGCGCGGGGAGAGGGGGAGAAGAGGCTGGAGGCGTCGGGCACTGTCACTGCGGCGCTTTTGGTGCGGAATATTTTTTTTTTTATTCGAAACGCGAACGTACCGGATGGAGACAGACGCGCAGGCACACGCGCACACACACATACTCGCGCACACACACGGCCGGGCGTATTTTTTGTGTGGCTGAGTGTCTGGGGGGGTGCCTGCCCGTGACAGCGGCTCCGAGGCCGCGAGGGGGTGTGGGGGGGCCGCCGGTGACCGGATTAGGGGTCGGGCCGGCCCGGGAGGCAGGACTGCGCCTCTGCAGCCCAGCTGCCGGCTCGGGAGCAGAGGGGCTTCGGGAACATGTCACAGTAACATGCTTAAAATTCTTGACAACTGCGAAATGAGCTGCTCGCGGCTCCCCCTCACCCCTCCTCCGCGGCCTTTCCGCCCCGGTGTGTTTGTTTTGACTCGGGAGGCGTGGGGCACCGGGGCCGGCCTGCAGAAGCCCCCCCCCCCCCCAGCCGGCCCTCACCCACTGCCCAGCGGCTCCCCAGGCCCGTGGCTGCCCGGGCGCCTGCACCCTGCCGCCCCGGGCTGGCTCCCTCCCTTTGACGCGTGTCCCCTTCCCTCTTCCCTTGCAAGATATAACACGTGGGAGCCCGAGGAGAACATCCTGGACCCCCGGCTGCTGATCGCCTTCCAGAACAGGTGAGCTGCGGCCGCCTCCAGCCGCGGCCTTAGATGGGAGCGGGAGAGTGGGCCGCAGCGGCCAGCGGGTCGGGCACGGGCGCCCAGGGGCCCACCCCGGGAGCCGGCTCCCCCGGCGCACCACACCCGGGCTGAGTGGCGGGGCTGCGGCTTCCAGGAGGCCTCCAGCCTCCCGTCCTTGGCCTTGCTGCAGCCGGGTGGGGGCGGGGCAGAGCCCAGGGGGAGAGGGGGGGAGGTGGGAGGCGACGGGTGGGGGCCAGGAGTTGCAAGGACTCGGAACTGCACCTGGCTCTCCTGGAGCCACCTCAGAGCCCCCGTGGGCTGCCCCTGCAGCCGCAGGGCAGGCCGCTTGGCACAGCCACCTGGCGGGCCAGCTCGGGGAAGTGGCATTGTGAAACCGCAGGACGGCCCAGGACCGCGCTTAACCTGTTGGGGGTGGGGGAGAAGTTGACGTGCCCTAAGCCCCTCTCTGCGCCCCCAGGGAGCTGGGGACGGCGAGGGGCAGATCTGCCAGGCCTGGAGGCTTGCCGTGCGCGGGCCCCTAGGTGGTCGGGAAGCCCGTCGGCCCTCCTGAGCGGGTGGGACAGGGTGCTGGGCGGTTGTGCACGGGCCTGAGCACGAGCAGATGCGGCCAGCGCAGCTGCAGCAGCTGGATGGGGAGCCCCGCGGGGGCGGGGGGCGCGGAGGGGGCAGGCCCGCAGGCTGCCCGCACCCCGTGGATTTTGCATTATTTCCTGTGGCGAGTTGGGCCCGGAGCACTCAGGCCCCGGGGCTACACCGCGGGGAAGTTGCACTCCCGCGTCGCGGGGGGCTGCCAGGAAGGACCCGCCCCCTTCCACCTGGGAGTTCGCCTTGTAACCATGTCAGCGGCTGATGCCATGTTGCATAATGGGTCCCCGAAGAATTCCAGCGCGGGCTGTTGCAATGCCACGCAACTTCGGAGTCAGGCCCCCTCCCCGCCCCCCGGCTCCTGGGGTCGCCGCCTCGCCGCTGCGCTGTGGTGGGCGCTGGAGAGGCGCCCTGCTCCCTCGGAGAGCGGGGGAATGCCGGGGCCGGCCCCGCGGCGCCGGGCCGCCTCCTCCAGGCCGCGGGCGGAAGTCTCGCAGCTGCGCGCACCGCGCGCCTTATTAATAATTTGGAAATCGCGGCGGCGGCCGGGAGGAGCCGGCGCTTCCCGCCCCGCCGCCGCGGGCGCCGCCCGCTCCAGCCGGTTCACCTGGTGGCGGCGAACCTGGTCGGCGGCGGGTCCCGCCCCCGGCCCAGGCCCCTAATTGGCTCATTTGTGGCTGTGTAAACAAGGGCGCAGCCCCTCCCCCTGTTCGGGGCCTGGCCTTTAAGGAACGGGCCTCCCTTCTGCCGGCGGCACTGTCATCTGAATCCTAATGAGGTCATTAGCATCGTGTGCCTCGGCCGCCGCGAGCGTGGACCCACCTCGGGGGCACGGCTTCCCCTCCCTGCATTCCCGCGCCCACCCCGCGTGGCGCAGGACCGCCGGCTGCCCGCTCCTCCGGGCCGAGCGGCCGCCTCGCTGGGGGCGTCGATGCGGGCGCGGACCTCGGGGAGGTGCGAGCCCTTCTCGGAAGCCCCTCTGGCCAGAGGAGCCCCAAGCCGGGCCTGGAGCTGGCCCAGGTGCCCAGCTGACGGCGGGCCGACCTCGAGGGCGGATGGTGGCGCCCGGAGGGGGTGGGGCGCGGGAGGGGAGTGACCCCGAGGCTAACCCCGCCCTCTGTCCATCCCAGGGAACGGCAGGAGCAGCTGATGGGGTGTCGGAAGAGAGGCCCGAAACCCAAGCCGCTGGTGGTCCAGGTGAATGCGCCGCCCCGCCCAGGTTTTCCTGGGATAGGACCCACGTGGGGGGCGGGACACTCTGAGGCAGTCCAGTCCCACCTCCCCACTGGCCCCCCTGGGGGAGGGGAGGGGACGGGGCGGAGCTGGGCGGGACCCTCCCGCTCACTCCCCACCCGCCGCCCGCCCGCCTCTCCCCAGGTGCCCACCTTCGCTCGCCGCTCCAATGTGCTGACGGGGCTCCAGGACTCCTCCGCCGACAACCGCGCCAAGTTGGAGCTGGGCGCGCAGGGCAAGGGCCAAGGCCACCAGTATGAGCTCAACAGCAAGAAGCACCACCAGTACCAGCCGCACAGCAAGGAGAGGGCGGGCAAGCCGCCGCCGCCGCCGCCGGGCAAGAGCGGCAAGTACTACTACCAGCTCAACAGCAAGAAGCACCACCCCTACCAGCCCGACCCCAAGATGTACGACCTGCAGTACCAGGCCGGCCACAAGGAGGCGCCCGGCGCCGCGTGCCCGGACCTGGGCGCCAAGAGCCACGCGCCCGACAAGTGGGCGCACGGCGCGGGGGCCAAGGGCTACCTGGGCGCCGTGAAGCCCCTGGCCGGCGCGGCCGGCGCGGCGGCGGGCAAGGGCGCGGAGAAGGGCGCCCCCAACGGCCTGGCGCCCGCGCCCAAGGAGGCAGGGGCCGGCAACGGCATCGGGGGCAAGATGAAGATCGTCAAGAACAAGAACAAGAACGGGCGCATCGTGATCGTCATGAGCAAGTACATGGAGAACGGCATGCAGGCCGTGAAGATCAAGTCCGGCGACGCCGAGGACGCGCGCGCCGGCCACAAGAAGCGCGCGCCCGACGAGCGGACTTTCAAGAAGGCGGGCGCCGAGGAGAAGAAGGCGGAGGCGGCCCCGGGCAAGCGGCGCGAGGAGGCGGCGGGGCCTGAGCCGCCCGCCCCCGAGGCGGGGGGCGCGCGCAAGCCCTCCCCGGCGGCGGCGGCCAAGGAGGCGCTCGAGCAGCCCCTGCCGCTCACCACCAAGCCCGAGCTGCTGGCCTGGGACCCCGCCCCGCGCGGCCCGCCCGCGGCCCCGCACCACCCCGCGCACCACGCCCCGCACGGCCTCGGCCTCGGCCTGGCCCACGCGCGCAAGCGCTGCCTGTCCGAGACGCACGGCGAGCGCGACCCCTGCAAGAAGCGGCTGACGGCGCGCAGCATCAGCACCCCCACCTGCCTGGGGGCCGGCGCGCCCGCCCCCGCCGCCGCGCTCCCGCAGCCCGAGGTCATCCTGCTGGACTCGGACCTGGATGAGCCCATAGACTTGCGCTGCGTGAAGACGCGGGAGGCGGGGCCGCCGGCCGGCGCGGCGCACGTCAAGCCCGAGGCAGCCGCGCCCCCGGTGGTGGTGGCGGCGGCCAGCGTGCCCCCCGCCGCCGAGAAGCCCCCGGCCGCGGCGCAGGACGAGCCCGAGGAGCCGCTGGGCGAGTTCAAGCCCTTCTTCGGGAACATCATCATCACCGACGTCACTGCGAACTGCCTCACCGTCACCTTCAAGGAGTACGTGACGGTGTAACGGCGGCAGGCGGACCGGACCGGCCCGGGACCCTGGCCGGTGGGGCGGGCGCGGCCCGAGTCATAGTATTATCTTTTAACCGTGCTAACGTGTCCAGTGCAGGCTTTACTCCCGTTTGTACGTGGTGTTATTATTGAAACGTATTGTCTGAGCTCAGAAGGCCCGACCCCCCCCTTCGGGCCGATATATATATATACATATATATATATTTATTTGTAGGTATTTATATATTGAAATATAAAAACCTAGATTTATGGAGTTTCCTCTAGATCATGTTATATTCTATATCAGACAAACTATTTTCTGTTGCTGCCCTCCTCTTCGCGTTTCGGTTCATTTCCTTTCGTCCCGGCCGGGGACTGCTATACCAGTGACCTTGGTATATATTTTTGGATACTGTACACATGGATGTGTTGTTTCTATGTGCAAAAAAAAAAGTTTGTTAAAAGGCTGAACGAGCTCTCTAGAAACTGCTGCTGCTAGGACTGTCTAGGCTAAGCCCCCGACCACCCCTGCTTGAATGTACATAGTAAACGGAGATTGGAAGTGTTTGTGCCTGTGAGTGCTGGGGGGGATGTCGTGCGCGGGCTCCTGCGGCCGCTGGACCCGGGGTGGGCACGGCTCGCTGGGCCTGCCCTGCAGGGCCGGTTCGTCGGGAGGGGCGCGCCCGCCTCTCCCCGGAAGCCATCGGCGCGCGGGGCGGGCGACCCACCCCGCCCGGGTCTGGGCAGGCAGGGGTTAAGGCGGGCAGGGGGCGGGCGTGGGTGCCGCTCCGGAAGCCGGACCCGGGCCCTGCAGACCAGCGACCTTCCCGGCGGGCGGGCGCGGCCAGCGGGGGGCCAGTGGGCACCGGCGGGGGCGGCGGGCAGGAGCGCCCGAGAGATAGAGCCTGAATGCGGCCAGTGTAGCGGCTGTTGGCCCGCGGCCCAGCGCGGGGGGGAGGGGAGCGCGGCGGGGGAGGGGAGGAAAGTTCTTTAAAAAAAAAAAAGCGGGGCTGGGAGCTTGCGGCTGCCCAGAATTGCCCCCTCCACACAGCCCCCGCCCCCGCCGGCCCCTCCCCCCGAGAATGCCCTTTGGCACCCTGGGAGCCAGCGCAGGCCAGGCGGGTGATTCCCGGTGCTCCTGGCCAGCCGCCTGCCCCTGCTGGAATGGGGTCGGCCCTTCCTGGCTGGGCACAAAGGCACATGCCAGGCGGGCACGGTGGCTCCCCCGTCCCCCAGGGCAGGCCTGGGGCCCCTCCTGGGGCAGCACAGCTGGTGGCTGGAACCTTAGCTAGCGTCTGGGGTGGGGGCCTGCAGCCCAGTGGGTGGTCTCAGCCAGGCTGAGCCAGGATGGCATCTACAGGGGCAGAGAAGGAGAGGGGTGGCCGAAGCTCTGCAGGGTCCAGAGGAGGGGATCCCGGGGGGAGGGGGGGGTTGGGCGGGGTCAGGAGCACTTGGGTGGCAGGGGACAGGCCCACACCTGCCTGTCCTGGGCTGCCCCAGGGTCATGCCAAGCCTGCTTGTGCCTGAGGTCCTGCCCAGAGGTTCCTCCACGGGCCACCACCTACTGCTGAGCTGTTCCCGGCACAGGATGGGTCTCAGTGGGGTCCAGTCCGGGGGGTGGGGGGGAAACGTGACTGAGACCGGCTCTGGCCCTGCCCCTGAGGGGGCCTCTGTCCAGGCGGGGCCGGGCACTGCCCCACTTGTGCCCTTCGAGCCGGAGCCCGCTCGCCCTCCTTCCACCCCTTTGGAAACAGGCTGGCCAAGTGCGGGCAGAATGGACATGCCCAGTGACCCCCAGGTTTCCCACGGGAAAGCTCTTGTCCTCGCAGGTCACAACTGGGCGTGACTCAGTCCTGGGGGCACAGCACCCAGAGCACAGGTTTAAGGGGCATCCTGGGTCCAGACAGCCAGTGTCTGCCCACAGGAGCCGGGGGCTGCCCACAGTGACGGCACTGGACTGAGATGCCCCTGTGACTCAGGGTGAGGGTCCTCCACTGGACAAGAGGGGAGCAAGATAATCTCACGGGGTTCCTGCACTAAGGTTCCTCTTCACTCCCACCATCACAGATGGAAACTTCTAGAACATTCAAGGAGGGTGAGATGAGGGCAGTGCCCACTCTCCAACTCCAGCCCTCTCCTGTCTTCCACTTTCAAGATGGGATCTGGGGAGAGGAAAAGCTGGGTCAGGAGAGTCCCGGCTGCCTTCTGGAAGAAGCCCTAAAATACCAGTGTCCGGCAGTGGGTAGTCACAGCCCGCCAGGAGCCAGAGCCAGGCCCTGGCATGTCCTGGTGGGGCCCTAGATACAGTCCTCTCCCCTGCCTCTGCCCTCTGCTAGGGGCCTCGCCCTTGGCCCCTCACGGCCTCTTGCTCAGGAGAGTGACCCGTGGGAGGCTCTTCGGAGTCAGAAGCCAGTCCCCTGAGGCCTAGGGGACGCCTGGAGGAGTCTCCATGAAGGTGCCCAGCCTCCCCTAGGAGCCCGCAGCCCAGACCTCGGTGAACTCGGTGGCAAGCAGCCATGCCCCCAGCTGCCCGGCTTGCGGGGCCTTCCTAGCCTCTGTGGGCTCCGCTGTCCCGAGGCTGTCTTCGGTCACCTCCACCTTCCCGGGACCTGCAGTGCTGGCTCCCACCCTCAGGTGGCCAGCCTATGGCGCACCATGCCCTGGAGTGGCTAAGCCTGTCCCCACCCTGCCGGATCCAGGCGGGCCCAGGCACCCTCAGGGGGAAGCTGGGGGTACCAGGCATATCCGAGTTTTCACCACAGTTCGTGTGTGCTGTGTGTGTGTGCATGTGTGAGCCCTGAGGGTCCCTGTGGCAGGCAGGGGTTGAGTGTGTCCCTGTCCTATTGCCACCACCAATGTCCACAGCTGAGACCAGGCCGTGCTGCGGAGAGCAGCCTCAAGCGTGCACCCTGTGTCCCGTCTGGGAAGCATGGGGCGGCCACCCTGTCACCCTTCCCCAGTCCTTTTGGGGGTCTCAGGAGGCCCCAGCGAGGAGGTGATGGACACTGGGCGGTAGCTCTGTGGCCACGTGGCCCCTAGCCGTCCCTATCCACGCCTCTTTCTATTCCCTGTGGCCGTGCTGGGGGCCATGCCCAGGGGTGCCGGGACAGAATGGGATCTCCCAGAAGCTGGACATCTCTGTGTCCAGCACTGAGCTGCTTCCCTGGCCCCCAGGGTCCACTCTGACTTGAGGCACTGCTGGGCTAGTGGCACAGTAGGCATCTCTGCGCCCATGGCCAGTAGGGGTGTAGTTTGAGGGGCCCAGCCTCCCCGCCCTGTGGAGGGTCTCGAGCATCAGCACAGCCCCGCCCGCCCAGGTGTCCGTAAACCCCTGGATTTCCTCCTTTCCGCTGCATCTGAGAAATTCTTCACTAATTCCATGGTATCTGGTTTCTCATTGTCTCAGGCAGCCCCTTGGGGTGGGCTTCCCAAAGGCGGGCGAAGGCGCGGGGTCCCACGCAGAGCCCCTGACGCAAGCTCACTCGCTGGCGGGAAAGGTCATCCCCAGGCCCTCCGCCCAGAAGGGGCTGGTGCCTCCTCTGCTCAGCCCCCTACACCCTGCAGTGACATCAGAGAGTGAAGGCGCTGGCCCTCCCTCTCCATTAGGGTGACAGCTGTCGGGGTCCAGGACGTGGATCCCACTGCGGGCTGGACTCGTCAGGCGCAGGTCGGGGACCCCATCTCCCCACCGTGGCTCTCAGGAGGTGAGCGGGACAGGCGAGACCATTCGGGCCAATCTTCATCCCCCCCACACCCTGGGGGTGGAAATGAAAGTCCCACAGGCTGGACGTCCCTGTACCCATCCCTGCACCTGGCATTGTCCCCTTCCCGGAATTAAAAAATTTTTTTTGCAGATTGCTTCTGATTCTCCTGCCTTACCGCTCTCACCTGGAGACCCAGGAACCCGGGTTGCAGCCCAAGGATGGCCAGGGGCTGGCTCTGGGGTCCACCAAGGGGACAGCTGCCCCCAGACTCTGGCGGCGTCCCTGGAGCCGAGACCCCTCCAGAGGAGCACAGAGGAGTTGGCATCCCTCAGCTGCCCCCATCCTCGAGAGCAGAGGGAAGAGCCGTGGCCGTGAGCGCCCCTCCTGCAGGCGCATGTGAGGCTCATCCACACAGCAGGGCCAAGAGTTGTGTGTGGGGCCTGGAAGACAGAGAGAGCAACTAGCTACCACCTGGAGAAGGGGACAGGCACCGCTGCCCACAGCTCAGCTTCCCCGGGTTGGGCCGGAGGGAAGCCCCGCGTGTAGGGCCCGGTCTGAGCAGAGTGTCCCCCCCGCCCCCATCTTAAGAACAGAAAGTCCAACCCATGAAGAAAGGCCCATGCCCAGACCAAGCAGAGCTGCATGTCCTCGGCCCGGCCAGGCCTGGGCGGTGTCTGTCCACACCTGCCTCGGAGCAGGCACTCCACAGTGTGGCGCGAGGCCTGACACAGGGCAGGGTTCGAGGGACTGGGTCCCAGGGGGAGGGCGGGGGAGGAACAGGCAGCCTGCTATGTGCACAGCCTGCTGAGCGGCCCATATATAACCTCAGGGCGCTGACCGGCTGGGGATGGTGTTTGTTCGGCCCCGGCCAGGCCTGGGGGGACGTGTGGGCCTTTGCTGTCTTGAGGGACGGAAGCAGGTCACCCGCAGCAGTGACAGGCTGTCCCCGGAATGGGGGGGCTGACACACACCCACTGGTCTCCCACCTGCAGGCGGCACCCCCCCACAGGGGTCTTCTGGGTCCTCTGCAGAGCGGGTGGGCCTGGGGTAGGCTCAGAGTGGGAGGGTCAGAAATGGCTGGACAGGGGTGCCAAGGGCAGGGTGCGAGAGTCCAGCGCCCGCCCAGCGTGCCCCATGCTCGGGAAGGCGGTGCCTGCTCACTCTGAGGCCCAGAAGGAAGGGCACAGAGTGCCATGCCCTGGTCTGGTCCCATGCCCGGCTACAGCGGGGACACAGCCCCCTGGCAGGATGAGATAGCTGTCCAGGTGCCCCTCACTGACTGAGCGTCCTGCTACCTCTTCCTCTTCTTTTTACTCTCCTGGTTTTTGATCACACCAGCGGTGCTCAGG